ACCCCACAATCCAAAGTTTCTCCAGACAGATAGCTCATTGTGTAGATAGTTTCAAGTTGAAGACAAACACAGTTTGGCTGGAAAATTATTCAACAATGGGAAGTGTTGTCCCTGACATAGCCTTTCTATCTCCTTAACCAACTAAGAAAGTGGACTGAGAAGAGTTCATAGAATCATAGAATCCCTACAGTGTGGAAAGAGCCCATTCAGCCCATCGAGCCTGCACCAATGCTCTGAAGAGCATCCCACCCAGACCTTATTCCTGTAATCCCACATTTTCCATGGCTAATCCATCTAGCCTGCACATCCCTGGACACTACAGGGCGATTTAGCATGGCCAATCCACCTAACCTGCACATCTTTCGACTGGGAGGAAACCGGAGCACCTAGAATTTACCCACACTGACAGTCACCCGAGGCTGGAATCAAGCCTAGGTCCCTGGTGCTGTGAGGCAGCAGTGCTAACCACTGAGCCACACTGCCACCCTTAAAAATAAAGTTCTTGGGAAAACAACCTTTCCTTCAGCCAGTTTTCTCTGGTGAGGCCCACTTTCATTTATCTAGAAGATGGTAAGCCTCGACACACCTAGAGTACCAGCCAGCAGAGAAAATGCTGAGTCCAGAGCAAGGCAGGCAAGTGGAAATTTGCTGGCACATGGTGACTCCAAAGCATGGATTCATCCAGACAAAACATATCAAAAATTCCTGAAAAAACTGCTCTTTTCAAGAGGTATGGCAGGAAATCGCTAGAAGCCCCAGAGAGAATTTTAGTGTCAATATTTTTGAAAAATAGTTTAAAATTGATGCTATTCCTTTTGTAAAGTTGTCCAGTTTTGTTGTGACAAAAACTGACCTAAACCTTCAAAGACACAAGGGCTGTATTTATTCAACAGAAGTGAAGACCCAGGAAACTAAAGCATGTGACATAGCTATATCCCTCTCCCCTACCCTCATGTATTGTTAATGCTGATGCCTCCATGCTTGCATTAATGACAAAGATACAAGAACAGCGAAAACATGAGTGAGCTCTGCCCCATATTCTCTTCTTTGCACTGACAAAATAAGTAGACTTTGCTCTAAACAGAGGAAGATCACCCTAAATTGTGCAAAGCAAGAAAAACGAAATGATCAAGACACTCCAAGAGTTTAAAGTGAATTCACGATTCAAATGGTACATTCAGTTTTACAAAGCAGATGATACAGTAAATTTTGAGACCCTTTAGCACATGTAAGAGGTCCTACACAGCCAGCAGCATGTCTTCAATTTTGCAATGTATGATGGCTACATGCAAAACTCTAAGTATCAACAGGGTCATAAAGTTTAACCTCCCTATCATTCAGCTTTACATTAACCTTAGGTTGGTTTCTAATCATTCAACTAACCTGCCAATGGCCAATGACCTGCCAATGTAAATCTAATCACAATCAGATCAGAAAACAGCTGGACTCAGTGCCTTTGGCTATTCTTTATCTGATGTGATGGGGAATAATTGTGGCATTTAAAGTTCAAATCTAATAATGCTCTAAAACAAGAAATCTAGTATTTGTGGGAAGGCCTCTACATGTCTGTAGAGAGAATGTACAAGGAACTGTAGTTCCCTTCTTCGCCATTTTTGAGATAGTATAGTTAAATCTATTTGGTTTCTTTTCCTTTCCTAATTCACCAAATTAGAACACATGAGAGATGGGGCAGGAGCAGACTATTAACCCATTGAAGAGAATCAGGCTGATCTTTGGCTTTGATTCCACTTTCCTGTCACATCCCTATAATTCCTTGATTCCTGAAACATCAAAAATCTGTCCATCTCAACCTTAAATATTGTCAATGATGAAGCATCCACAATGCTCTCTGAGGGCTCCAAACACTCTCAACCCTTTAAAGTGAAATTTCTCCTTCTTCAGCCTTAAATGATCAACCCTTGCCTGGAGAAGATTCTAGATCAGTTAGCCAGTGGAAACAACCTCTCAGTATCAAAGACTAAGTGGAGCAGGAAGCATCTGAAATGATAGGGGATCCCAGCATAGCAGTGCAAAAAGCAAGGCTGAAGCATCTGTGAAATCTTTCAGTCAGAAGTGCTGAAAGGATGATTCCATTTTGGCTTCATCCTGAGGTTCCTACTATCTCAGACAGCAGTTCAGTCAATTTAATTCACTCCAAGTGATATCAAAAAGGCTGAAGCCACTGGAATATTGCAAAGGCTATGGGCCCTGACAAAATTCTGGAAATGGTATTGAGGACTGGTCCTCCAGAGCTAGCCTTGTCCCAACCCTGACTGCTCCACTGAAAGATACAACAACTGGCTTCTACCTGCAAACATGGAAAATTGCCCAGGTTTGTCCTGTCCAATCCCATCTCAATCATCAGCAAAACGATACAAGATGATATCGCCAGTGTTATCAAGCGGCACTTATACTGCAGTAATTTTCTCTCTGATGGCCATTCAGCTCCTGACCTTGGTCCAAACACGGACAAAACCGTCGAACAGCAGAGATGAGGTCAGAATGATTGTTTTTGCCATTGAGACTAAGTGTAATATCAGTAAGCTCCAGCAAATTTGAAGGCAATGGGAATTGGGAAAACATTCCACTGGTTGCACTAATATATAACATAAAGGAAAATAAAAGTGTCAATTGGACGTGAATTATCCCAGCCCAGGACATCTCTGCAGGAGTCCCTCAGGACAGTGTGCTAAACCCAAACATCATCAGCTGCTTCATCAACATCCTTTCCTCCATCATAACAGCAGACGTAGCAGGATGTTTATTGATAATTTCCACAATTCACAATCCCACAGATGCTGAAGCTATCCTTGTTCTTATGCAGCAAGAATTGGACAGAATTCAGGTTTGTGCTGATAAGTAGCAAGTAACATTCATGACACCCAAGTGACCAGCAATGACCACCTCCAAAAAGAGAGAATCTAGCATTTCCCCTTGACATTCAATGACATTACAAGGCTGAATACCTTCACTAACAACATCCTGAGGGGTTACTATTGACCAGAAACTGAACTGGACTGGCCATATAAATACTGTGGCTGCAAGAGCAGGTTAGAGATGGGAATTCTGCATTGAGTATCTTACCTCCTGACTCCTTAAAGCATGTCCATCATTTATAAAGCAAAGAGTATGATTAAGTGCTTTCCACGTATCTGGATGAGTACACCTTTGACAACACTCAAGAAATTTGACTCCATCCATGACAAAGCAACTGTTTGACTGGCACCTCATTTACCATCTTCATATTTATTCAGCAATGTCTACCATCGACAGATGTACTACAGTAACTTCCTCCATGCAGGCGTTTCAACAGACACTTCAAAACCCACAATCTCTACCAGCTAGAACAACAAGGGACACCATCACCTACAAGTTCTCTATAGGCTACACACATTCCTGACTTGGAACAATATCACCATTCCCTCACTGTTGTGAGGTCACAAGTCTGGCACTCCATTCCCCCTATTCCTTTCTATTAGCACTGTGCGTATCATAGAATTATAGAATCCCTACAGTGTGGAAACAGGCTCTTCGGCCCAACAAGTCCACACCAACCCTTGGAGCATCCCACCCAGACCCATCCTCCTATAACCACCTAAGCTACACATCCCTGAACACTACGGGCAATTTAGCATGGCCAATGCACCTAGCCTGCACATCTTTGGACTGTGGGAGGAAACCGGAGTACCGGAGGAAACCCACGTAGACACGGGGAGAATGTACAAACTCCACACAGACAGTCGCCTGAGGGTGGAACTGAACCCGGGTCCCTGGCGCTGTGAGACAGCAGTGCTGACCACTGAGCCACCATGCCATCTAAATATATCTCTTCACTAAATAGAATTCCAGTAGTTCAATAAAATTGGCTCAACATTAACTTTTAAAGGGCAATCAGGGATGAATAACTAATGCAGGCCTTGCTGACAATTACCACATAAAGAATAAAATATACCCTGTTAAACCCCTACAAAATCATGCATGTTCCAACTAGATCAACTCTCATTCTTCTAAATCCCAGAGAACATAGACCCAATTTATTCAGCCTCTCATCATAGGCAACCATCTCATGTCAGGAACCAATCTCACGAACCTTCAGTCTGCTGCAAATATATCCTTCCGTAAATATGGAGAGCAAATGACGAATGTTCCTTTGAGCTGGGTATTTTCATGGCTCACATACTTTACGCAAGATATCTCTATCCTTCAGAAGAATGTCCTATTGCATAATTACAATCTATTTCCATTTGCAATAGCTAACCCTTAGTCTCTGCAAGTTAGGTTGCAAACCTACTGCAAATTTAGGAACAACTTTGTAGTGTGAGTGGTATGCGTTGGGAACTGGATTCAGCAACAAGCAACAAAAACAGGGAACTTCCATCCTATCAGCCTGACTTGACCTTAAAACAACTCCCAGATGTGTGAAAGAAAAATAAAAATTGCTGGAAAATCTCAGCAGGTCTGGTGGCATCGGTGGAGAGAAATCAGAACTAACTTTTTCTGTCCAGTGACCCTTCTTCAGAATCCAAATCTGTGGGATCACGACCCAAAATGTAATTTCAGGTCAAACCACAATGTACCTGATACAACAGGATCTACTTCAATACATTGCAATTAACCTTTGGTCATCTGCTACTGTGAATGAATATTAACAAGGGACCTAGCTATAATATATATGTTGCAGTCTGGGTTTAACTGGGCATCATCAAATGTGAGCACCCCTTACACCACAAGCTAAGAGATTAGCCAACTGGGGGAAACTGGCCCGTGGTTCTGATGACTATACCACAGCCATTTAATGCTGGGTGTAGTCTGGGGGGACAGTTTGGTGGTGAGCGTGATGTCTGCTGGGATTCATGTGCCAAGCCAACTTTCAGACCTCCTGGAGTGGGAGAAGTGCAAAATCTATATCTTTAATTGAGTTAACTGCAAGAAAAATACCTTGAGCCGTAACATTTTCTCTAAGTGCACAGTCTTGTCGCTAATCTTGAAGCTTTACTCACATGTGCTGTGAGGCATTGGGAAAGAGCTCTGAAAACTGTGGTGCCGAATCCTCAGGGCCATGGGGTGCTGCATGACTGATGACCATGAGAACAGGCCTGTGTGGATATATCTTCTTGGATATGCGGAAATAATTGATACTGTCGTTGGTGATCACATCTGTAAAGTAATCCTGAAAAAGAAAATAACAATGATTTATGACTCTGTCCACAAAAAAGACTATTTTAAACAAGCACACAAGATGCCTCAGAAATCCAAAACACTTGTTTTAAAGGTCAAGTGTTGAGGCTGCAACTTTACAAAACAGTACAGAAGATCGCGATGCTTAATTTCTTTTAACGAGGACAAAATTCCCTGCCGCAGAATATTATTTCAACATTAATTCCAAGAACTGAGCAGAAACAAAAGAAAGTGGAATAATACTGACGCGTGATCAGATAGAAATGGCGTCCACCACAAAACTATTCAGTACTTCAAACGTAACCAGAAAACCTGAAACTGACACATCAATGAATTAATGCCAGAACCAAAAGGCTGATAAATTTCTGTCTTTGAAACTGTTGAATTGACTCATTGCTCTCCAGGGGGTTGTTCACAGATAGTCAACGCCAGCTGCAATATTTAGGCCAAGCAAGTGTAGTGAAGAAGACGAAGTTTTATTTAGATCAATGTGAGATGTTACATGTTGGTAGGACAAATCAGGACAGGACTTATGCAGTTAATGGTAGAGCCCTGGGGAATGTTGCCGAACAAAGAGACCTAGGGGTGCAGGTGCACAGCTCTTTGAAAGTGGAGTCGCAGGTGAACAGTGTGGTGAAGAAGGCGTTTGGCACGTTTGCCTTCATTGGTCTTGCTAACATCTTTGAGAGAATGAAAAGGAGGATGAAGGAGAGATTAAAAGAGGAGATCAAATGTAGAGATGAAGGGTGAAGAAGAGAAAGAAGAAGAGAGCAGAGTGTGGAAGGGAAAAGGAGAGTCATAGGACAGAAGAAAGGAAAGACGGCAGAGGGTTACGAGGCTAATAGCAGGAAAACTGTTTAAACAGTGCTAAAAGAAGACAAAAGCACTTTGATGAAGGGTCACTGGATCTGAAACATTGTCTCTGCTTTCTCTCCACAGATGCTACCAGATTTGTTGAATTTCTCCAGCAGTTTCTGTTTTTAGTTCAGATTTCCAGTCTCCAGCGTTCTTAGTTTTACTATATACAGCAAAATTGTAAATTTTCACTTTGCACTTATCAGGACGTGGATACAAGAAACACAAAATAAGCACACCAAATTATACAGCACGAGAACAGAGAGTTGATTGGTTGGGCCATCATTGGCATGGAGATGCAGCAAGAACTGTTAACTGTCAATCTTGCATTTCAGATCAGACGGATAGACTCTTAATTGGTCAGGGCATTGCCATGGGAGATTGACAGTCATCTACTAACGTGCTTGAATAGATGGCATTGCCATGGTGCTTGGGCCCAGATCCAGGCTAACTAGACCCAACTTTTGCTAATATCTTTGTTGGTTACCATGAGGAAGGTGCTTTTGACTGAATGACCACTATCCCATTGCATATATACTTCCGATACAGAGATGATAGGTTCGCGATTTGAAACTGCAGCCACATCAAAGAATTTCTTCACACAAATTAATAAACTCCATCCTCAGCTCACACTTATCATTGAAATGGAGCGACCAAACAAGCTGCCTTTCCTAGATTTATTAGTTTAGATATCTTCCAATGGGTTATCTCTTACTAATCTCCCCAAAAGCCTACATATGCTAGTCAATATATGCATTTGGATGTCCATTGTTCTACCTGCTGTAAAATCAGTCTCATTAACAACCTCGTAAATTGGGCCTTGGCTATCAGTTCTCCATGTAAGCTTTTGCTGAATCGGGTGTATCAAAACCAACCTGCAAGACAATGGCTATCCTGATGAATTCATCACTCATTGATTAAAATGCATGAAAGAGCCTCTGACCAACCACCACCTTTGCGTTTCTTTTACGTTAATCTCTCAATCCCACCTCTTTACTGGTCTCTGGAAATTTTATTCCCCCAAATCACTGACAAACACACTTTCAAATTCCCATAACTGCTGGTCCTCCATTCACCATAATGAGTCTGCCACTACCAATCCCCTCAATCACGCTCTCAACTCCACTTTTGATGGCTTTGAACCAATTTAAAACAATTACTGTCATTGGCCCCTTCCTCTGATACAGCTCAAATTTCCACTCCTTTAAGTCCTGAAAGCTTGAATATTGTAGCAGACAACTGCTTTAGCCAGAGCCAGTGCATCATATAAAGTATTATCAAGTCCTGTTGGCCTCTGACAAACTGGACACTATTCCAGTATAATCCTGAATTTAAAGATAATTCCCAGCTTCTCTTCATCGCTACAAACCAGCTTCTTAAAAGCCTTTCTCCTGTCTCCTGCCCGCTCACCTCCAACATTGATTGGAAGGAGCTCATACGATTCTTTATCATTAAGATTGAGATAATCCTTTCAGCCATCTCCCCCTTTTTCCTCGCCCAACAGGCTAAACTTTCTTGAGATTTCCCACTGATATGACCACAAACCTGCCTTTTTCTCCAAAAGTATGGAGACACCCTCCCTGAACTCATCTTACAAAGAAAGCCACTTCCTGCTTTGCCTTTGGCTTTATTCTAACTAAGCCACTGATCACACTTCTTGCTCCTCATGTTAACTCACATTGTGAACTAGTTCCTATATCCAGCTGGCATTCCCCTCTTCTTCAAATCTGTCATGTCACCATTCTCTTCAAACGAAACAACCTTTAATCTTTGCAAATTACCACTCCATCTCCACCTTTCCTTTTATCCTAAAAGTACCTGAGAATGTTGTTATCTCCCAAACCTATGCCCAACTTTCCTGAAACTCAAGATCTGAATTCTTCCAATCAGATTTCATTCCTGTCTCAAAGCTGAAATAGGTGTTATTGAAGTCAGAAACAACATTCCATATGATTGTGGGAACAATACTTCCTTGTTCTTCTCAATTCCGGTCTCTGATACAATTGATTATTACATTCTACTCTGACTTTTTTCCTCCATTGTTCAGTTTTATAGGGCTGCACTCACCTGTTGTTATTCCATCTATTTCATCACAGCCAGAAAATGACTTGCAATAGTTTCTCTTCCTTTACTCCATTTCTTCTGGAGTGTCCTAAGGATGCTTCACACTCTCTTTTCTGATCTACACATTATCCCACATCAACATCATTCAAAAAGCTCAACATCAGGTTCCACATGAGCACTGATAACAATCAGTTCCCTCTCACAATGTCTCTTTATTGGTCACAATATTTATCTAACAACCAGGAGTGAACAGAAATATCCTTCAACTAAACATTAGAAAAACCAAATTATTTCATTGCTCCCTGCCCCAAACTCCATTCTCTGGCCTCCAACTCCAACACTTTCTTTGAACGTAGCAATTTATAACCTCAGTGTCCTTTTCTAAGACTGTCTATTTCCACAATAGCTTCATGACAATTTAAATGAAAATCTCTGAAATCTGCTTCATTACCCTGCTATCTGATGAGAAAACTTACCATGTTACGCATTAAAGGATAGCATAAGGAATCAGGCTGGTGCCTGTATGTGTCTGATGTAAAACATGTTGTACAGAAAGAAATGAGAGGAAACCTTGGTGAAGGTCAGACATCAAAATGCAAATATGCAGATCATAGAGAGCGACACAGGCTCAAATGAATTCCCAATCAGGGTTTATTTGGTGAAGCAGTGTTGAATGCAAGTTATAGATGGACAGAAAGACAAACAGGCACTTGTGCCTTCCCATGAACAGCCAACCAGCACAGATGATGCTCCACCACTTATCTGTCCTCTTGGCAACAGGACAAAGAACTTGTTAAGACCCTGCAAAATAACAAAAGAAAATCGGAGAAAGTGCATTCCCCTCAATGAAGAGTAAGGAGGCTCATGTAAAAAATACTGAATTGAACAAAAAAAATGAAACAAATGAATAATGTGGGATTTAAATTGCAAAAATTTGCTTAAATCCTCATACTGTAAATATTATTCAACAATTTTACGTTATTGCACACTGCCAGCATAGAATTGGGAATTCAGTTCAGTGTGTATCATCCAAACGTTTATTGAGTATAACAGCTTGAGGTGAGGCACCCAAATTCCTGCTAAACATCCCTGATTGGCAAGACTTGGCAATGAAAGCACAAACTTATAATATTGTCCTGAGAAACATCTACCTCCTGAATCCAGCTAAAAGTACCTTCAGTGAGTTATGAACACTATTTCAATTTAACAATGCTTAATTTTCCAGGTTCGGTAAATGGGAAGTAACTGGAAAGTTTTAATTCAAAAAGAACAATTCTAAATTAGCACACACAGTCATCAGATCAAAAGCATGGACTGCATGTAGTACATGGCAACAGTCTGTTTACTGTGCTCTCAAAGAACTGAAGCCATAGAGCATTGTCTTCAGCAGAAGTAAAGGCCACTTTCTTGGCTATTCATCACTCACCCTGGTGCCTTACATAAGCAGCAGTGAGAAACTGCTGAAGAAATTCTTGTAATTTAAAACACTGACGGCCGTGACTAATCACATGTTCTGGATACAAAGTGCAGTACAGCTGCAAAGGCACAGCCTGAGGTTACACTCCATGTCACATGCCAATGTTAGTACAAGCCAACCAGCTGTGTCCTTTCTTTGTCAATATCAGTTCAGCAGGCACTGGGCTTCTGGAAATTAATAGTGTGATTATACTCTGCAAAGACAACAATATAGGGCTATTGCTTTTAATGATGTTAATGATGAGCCCAAGACAATGCCAGTATTTGAATGAAATTCTGATTTAAATAATTGATTTCTGTTTAAAAACAAGGTTTTAAACAATAGCTTAAAGTACAATCACTTAAACAAAACTAACTACCAATGGTGAAAGGCTAGGCAATGGTCTACCGGTACTATTGCTAGGCTATTAATCCTGAAACACAGGTACTGTTCTGGGGACCTGGGTTCAAATCTGGACACGGCAGATGGTGGAATTTAAATTCAATTATAAGAACATAGAACATAGAACAGTACAGGCCCTTTGGCCCACAATGTTGTGCCAACTTATTATCCTACTATCTGGAAATAAGAGTCTAATGATGATCATGAATCCATTG